GAACTTGGTGGATTAGGAGGAAGGGATCCTAAGAGGATCCCTTTCCTTAAACCCCCTTTAGGAACTATACACAGTTGCTTGAAATATATTTTTTTTTTTATTATTTTCCTATATAAACCATAGACTAAGGCCAACGTCCAAAAGTCAAAAAATGACCTCATTTGTCAAAAAATCATCTCCAAGATGACTGAGTTATAATTCTATGGAGCCCACCAAAATTGATTAGGCTAGCCAAATGTAACCATCCTCATAGCCTTTTTTATCGGGCTCAATTCCTCAATTGCAATAATTGATTTAAATTCAACGACTACATTTGAAAGTATCTAACGGTAGTTTAATTAAATTAATCAATAAATTTAAAATATAAAGTTAAAACTAATAAATTATCGAGCGGACTATGTTTAACTCATTTGGTTAGAGATGACATATAAATATGACCTGATACCGTTTCTTTAAAAATAATTTTTTACGGGACTATGTTTAACTCTTTCGATTAAAGATTGACCCAAAGGAAGCTAAGTGGAAGCTACATGCATGCATCTTGAACTTACTTGCAACCCTACAAGTCTTCTTTGAAAAGTTTCTGGCTTTGCCCCCCACCCAACCAGGGGAAACAGGGTTTGAGTATACTACACACACACACACACACACACACATATATATATATATATATATATATATCTGTGTGTTTGTTTATATTTTGCATATAAATTTATTGTCTGGCTTTGTTTTAACTCATCAAAAGCTTGCCCTTCTTTTTATGATTGAGAGCTGGTATGTCGACTAAGACTAAAACCCTAAGTAGCAGTAGTTCCGGAGAAGACTATGGTGAGCTTAGGAGAGGGCCATGGACTCTTGAAGAAGACTCTCTTCTTATTCAGTACATAGCTCGTCACGGCGAAGGCCGATGGAACTTGCTAGCCAAACGTTCAGGTAACCACATGTAACACAATTGCATGCTGATGACCGTAGTTAGAGTCCTTCTTCTTTGGCTGATTATATTTTCTTAATTCGTTGGTTAATTATACAGGATTAAGGAGAACTGGCAAAAGTTGCAGATTGAGATGGTTGAATTATCTGAAACCTGACGTTAAGCGAGGAAATCTTAGCCCTGAAGAACAGCTCTTGATTCTTGACCTCCACTCAAAAATGGGAAACAAGTGTGCTAGCTACCTCACTTAACAACTCAATTTCCTTACAACTTTTAATTTGAGCGATATTCTAATCTAATCTAAAATACGAGGATGTAAATTCGTGCGGAGTTTATTGAAACTTGGCATAGTATAGTATGGTGCTTATTCGTCTCAAGACCGTAGTAAAATACTTACGGTTGCAAGTTCATTCATTTTGTGATCGTAGGTGGTCGAAAATCGCGCAATATTTACCGGGAAGAACAGACAATGAAATCAAGAACTACTGGAGAACAAGGGTGCAGAAACAAGCCCGGCATCTCCGAATCGACACGAGCAGCGTAGAGTTTCAAAACATGATAAGGTGCTTTTGGATGCCAAGGTTGCAGCAGAAGATAGGAGGAGGAACATCGATTTCTTCAGCTGTGTTAAACCAAAACCATGCCATTTCGCAGCCTCTCGAAGACAACACCTTCCCACATTTTACAGCAACAATATCGCCGCCACCACAAAATATAGTGCAGGAAGAAATTAATATGAGTGCATCAATGTACAATTTAGATGTCGAAAAGCAGAACACAAAGGCAGAGTACTGCACAGGTCCTTACATTTTACCTTCAGAGCCAATGGACATGTCGAAGACTGTGCAGTTTCCGGAATGTCCTCCTTTCCATTGTGGTGACAACAATGGCTATGACACGGAATCCTTCAATCTGCAGGAAACTGTGTCAGCGGACTCAGCACCAAATTTTCCAGGAAATTCTGCCGGCGATTGCTATGTGGCAGAAACCTACTGGTTTGACAGTGATTTTTTGTGTGGCATATGGAACGCGGACGAAATGTAGCAAAGTAGGAACTTATGACTTATTTCTTAGAGAGGGGAAGAGAGAGAGAGGTTGAGGGTCTTATTTTTGAGACAACCCTTAAGCAACTTATGACTCTTTGATACAAATTAGTATGAGATCATTCCATCAAGTGTCAAGCATTTGTAAATTTTCTACCCAACACACAAAATTGTGCAACTTGTTGATTTGAACTTTCTTTTTTTTTTTTTTAATGAAAAAAGCGTCAATGCTAAAATAATATAGTTATCAGACAGATACTAAGATTATGAGTCCATTTTGTCTCCTTGAGTGCAGTTTCATACAAAATTTTCAGCTTCAACCTACAGGGTACTCGAAATGGAAATGAAGCCATGCCTCAAATTTTTGAGCTTCAATTTTCTTCATTAACCAGTTAGTGGGATGGTGGAGAAATCATGACTAAGTTAGTCAATTTAAGGAGACAAGGTTTTCTTGCGGCAATGCTTCGATTTAAGACTCTTGCAGGTCAAGTGGATCAAAGAGACTCCACCAACTTGAAGCACTAACAAAATGAATGTAATAGAAAAGACTTGGTATATATCTTAAAAAGAAAAGACCTCCCTTAACCTGAGTTGAGAAAATGACAATAGTTCAAATTAACAATGCACAATCTCATAGAATTCAAAATTTCTCTAACAGTCCCACCTGAAATAGGATCCATAGCTGAAAGAGGGCCCATTAGGTTCTAAAAGACGCTAGGTGCTAGTAGAGCGGTGGGCTGGAGCCTAGCGCGTAGGCGGCTAGGCGGGGCTTAGGCGGATTTAAGTAAATCTGTTATATTTCGTGTAAATAAGTATTTGTCTATACTTAAAATATATAAAATTACATCATAAATTACAAAATAGAATGACATATATATTATGAAGTATTGAAACATAATGAAAACATGGGTAACAAACATATAATTTGTGTTCATTTTAGTATTCAACAAGTTTCTTACAATTTATTAAAAAAAAATAATGCAAAATGAAAGTTATCTATTTTATGTCAAAGTGAGTCGCAACCTAGGCAGGTGTCTAGGCGTGTCTGGGCGGTCTAGGCGGGCACCTCAGCAGGTCTAGGCGTCATTTCTAAATTTTCAAGTGCCTAGGTATTAATCGGAACGGTAGCCAACCGCTTAGCGTCTCTAGGTGAGGCATAGACGGCGCTAGGTAGGGATTTTTAGAATAGTCTACCTGCCTAACCCCTCACTTCGATGGATCATAGATCGAAAAATCTGCTGAATCTGGCCCTTTAATGCAAGTAAATTTTCATCCTTAAGCAGACATGCTAATACATTAAGTCTTGCTTTCTCACCATTGATTATGGGTGATACAAAAATATGTCAAATTTTCATTTATGGGTTGTCAATTTTGTTTTAAATTCAACCTTGATAGTGTACATGGAATCTAGTTAGCTACAGCTACCAATGACAAGTCTTCGTATTGATTAAAGTATAGATTGTGTATTTGGTTTATTATTAGAAATTTTTTTTTCAACAAATTGAAAAGACTAATAGGCAATTTTCATAATTAGCAACTGGAAAGTTGGTCTGAATTTAATTTTAGTTGACAAGTCAGAATCTCCTCATCTCCTCATCACAAATTTGAACAACAAATGAATAATTACTTAGGATTGGTAAAAGGGGAAATCTTAGCATCAGCAATGTCTCTTTATTTCGTCATGTAAACCTTTTAATTTGGTTAAGATTATCCATAACCTTTTGATTTGATTTTGTAAAACCATTTTTTTTTCCTTTTTTGTTTTACGGTTTGTCTTCCAGGTTTTTACATTTTAGGTTTTATTTTAAAGGAGTTTGGTCCTATGTCCACCCTTCATTTTCTTGTATATTCTTTTTCAAGAAGGGTAATGTGTATGCCCCTCCCTTCTTTTCTTGCTTTACGAGGAGTAAAGTTTATGTCTCCTCCTGACTAGGTGTAACTTTTTTTTTTCCATAACAATAAATTTCTCTTGTACCACCAAGGTTCTCCCAAAAAAAAAAAAAAATTGCTCCAGTTGTTAGTTTCATAATTTTTTTCAAGTCTGTACCACAAAAATAAAAATCGTTTGGATGTACTTTAAAAATGATTGAAAGCACTTTTAGTGAAATATTTTTGAAACAAATCCTTATTAAATTTTCAAGTGAATCCTGAAAAAGCACCTTAAGTGCTTCTTACAAGAAGAAACACATATCTGGTACTTCTTCCAAAAAACACTTAAATTGCTTTTGGTACTCAAAATCAATTTTACTAAAAGCACTTCTAAACGAGCCCCCTTTGAAAAGATGAAGTAACTAATGACACATCATGAGCGTAGAGGGTTGCAAACGTATGCCCTCTAAGAATAAAGTTTTCTGGAGTCCACCAGAGTTTGAGAGAAAATCCAAAAGGATAATTGATTAATTTTGAATTAATGAATTACATTGGTAGCCATAAGGCTTAAATTGACTTAATCAGACCTTGGGAAGTTCTTAGGAGGTCTTAGGAAAAACAAAACATTAATCGGATGGAAAAACGAAAAGTCCAATTCTTATTACAAACTTTAAAACGCAATTTTAGAAGTCTAAATGAACTTGGATGATTAAAATTCATCATACATCATTACAAAGTAGTGAGTTGAAACCAGAACATCGCGTTCTTTTTAAAAAAGTATCATGATCTCCTAACAGAGTTCAAACTTTAAATTTGTAAATTTCTGCTGCATCATTTTGTCTTCCTTCTGTCCATATCGTCTTTAACAAACTCCGCTATTTGTTCTTCATTCCCTAATAATTTTTCTCGTGAATTTAGCATTTTGTTTACGTATATTCCCCAAAAATTGATCATATGCGAACATCGAAAATTGTGCAGACATCAACAGTTGGGGGCGGGGAATTGGAAACATATAAAGTTTAGGGTCTGAAAACAAAATGACAGTTCCAAGGGCCCGTTGTAAAAGCCCGTTGGGTTAAGCTTGTAGTTTTGGTTTTTGGGCTTTAAGCCCAATCTTTTACCACTGGATACTCCCAGGGCTATCATAACCGTTCATTTAAAAGATTTATCATCCAACCGTCCATTTTATCTCCTTAAAGCCTTTTTATTCGCCATCCTTAGGGTTTTCTCCATACCCGCCGAAGCCAGAGCTCTTGGGTTTTCTGTCACTCAAAAGCAGAAGTCGCTCCGGCTCTCGATTCTCCTCGAGGTAAACCCCAAAACCCTAAATCCCCACATACCCATTTCATCTTTCTCAATTCGTTTTCGTACCTTCGATTCACTGCTCGACTGATTGCTTTGTGTGAGAAAGTTTGAGACTTCTAGCTGTTGTGAGTCTATGCATCTTAGATTTCTTATGTGGTTTATATTTCACGTGAATTTGAATGGGTTTGAAGATGTTTCTTTATTTTCCAAGCTTCAATTTTTGCAAAAATTAGGCACCCATTTGCTTGTTTTCTCCATTTTTTTCTCTTCATTTGGATTATGATTTTGTTTGAATGCAGAAAGATTTGTATTTTGTAATGTGGGTTTTGAGTTTTGTTCCAGAATATGACCCCACCCTTTATTATCTTTTTGTTTATCAATTTTCTGATTTATCGAACCCGAATAGTGTATTATGGATGGTATGTAACTTGGAGTTTTGTGCCGAAAATCCGAAACTTGCCGGTTTTTTCATGTCTATGTATGCTGAAAATTTTGATTGTGGTTTATGCCTATGTTATGTAGTCAGACTTTGCCAAGATGTATACTTCAAGGAAGAAGATTTCTAAGGATAACAATGCTGAGCCGACTGAATTCGAAGAGTCGGTTGCTCAAGTAAGCTATATTGCTGTTTACTGTGCTTTTTAGTTACTTTGTTGTTGAAGTTTCGGGTTTTGATCATGACTTATCTCTGCAGGCGGTATTTGATTTGGAAAACACAAATCAGGAGCTGAAGAGTGATCTGAAGGACCTCTATATCAACTCAGCAATGTAAGCGTTGTTTATTGAATTCGTATGTTTTATAAACGGTTTTCGGTTGGTTGAGTTACATTCTTTCTGCTGCAGTCAAGTTGATGTGTCTGGAAGCAAGAAGGCCGTGGTTATCCATGTGCCCTATAGGCTTAGGAAGGCTTATCGCAAGATCCATGTTCGCCTCGTGAGGGAGCTTGAGAAGAAGTTCAGTGGGAAGGTGATTAATACTTAGTGTTCTTTATTTGTTTGTTGATAGAAAGTGACACCCTCTTCTGTGCATTTATCTGCAATATTTCTTTTGCATTCGGTGAAGTTTATACTGGCCTTCTTGTTTGTCATGTTGTAGGATGTGATCCTGATTGCCACACGTAGGATTGTGAGGCCTCCTAAGAAAGGGTCAGCTGCTCAACGTCCCCGCACTCGTACACTAACTGCTGTGCATGAAGCAATGTTGGAAGATGTTGTGTTGCCTGCTGAGATTACTGGAAAGCGCATCAGATACCGTCTGGATGGATCCAAGATAATGAAGGTAAACTTTCAAAACTTTGACGAAATAGTATATTCAGCAGGAGAGAATAGATTTCTAACAAATGTGCATATATTTCTTCGTTTGATTTCTACAATTTCTGTCTTATAAAAACTAGATAATTTACTTCTCTTTTATCCTCATGATGTCGTGCAGGTGTTCTTGGACCCCAAGGAACGAAACAACACCGAGTACAAGCTGGAGAGCTTCTCTGCTGTTTACCGGAAGCTTTCAGGAAAGGATGTTGTGTTCGAGTACCCAATCACCGAAGCATAGAAATATCTGGTTTACCTGAAGAACTGCAGTCGAGCAGGCAGACAATTTAAAATTTTGATGTCGAGTACTTAGCGCTTATTTTGTTGATTTGATATGGTTTAATGTCGGATTTTAATTCTGTTTTCTTAATCGAAGGATTTATAATCAGCAAGTGTTTTGATGTTTCAAATTTCATCCATGGTGTTCAACGTCAGTTGTTTCGTTTCGAATTTCAACTATAGTCAACCAGCCTAACCCGCATTCCCGAAACATATTTACCATTTTTTACAAGTGCTACTCTGAAAGTGGGAGAATCGAACTCGGAAACTCAAATGACAGAAGTGAGAATCGAACTCGGAAACTCAAATGAAAGGAGTAGTAACCTTCACCAGGAACAACTGTGAGGAGATGTGGTTGAAGCCAGGAGGATACTGGTCGGATTCTCGTTGTGAGGATCTTGGAGATCCTCTAATTACATTCTTTCATTGTGCAGTCAGAAATTGTTGTAAATTTTTTATTTAAAATTGAATATAAACTTGTACGATGAACGAATGTGATTGAAGGATCTCCGGATCCTCTCTCGTGGTATAAGGAATAAAACATGTTATATTATATTAGCATAAGATTTACAATCAAAAAGTGCTTTTATGTGACATAAAAGGAAGGTAATGTACCTTCATCAATGGAAGAATATGAGACAACAATTCCTAGATTTATCCTCAACCAATCTACTTCCCCAGAAGCCTAAGGAGCAGCACTGAATACTAGCTACTAGTTTTAATCCGGGTTTCCCTCTTCCAGCTAAAGTAAATGAATCGCTGAAAAGCATGCGATGAACGCAGTTCATGTCGTGCCACTCTGCATGTGTTCTTTGTAACGAATGTATGACAGAGAACGTTGTAACATCTTCCGCGGTGTACTGTGTTTATCTGTTTCCGAGACAGTCACACACGCGGAGATAAAATCACAAGAGCTAGGTACACGGATCCACAGAGAAATGTGAAAGATATGAAGGCCCTGCGCGTAAAGCTCTTTGTAGTTAGAAAACAACAGAAAATGGATAAGAAGAAAGGAGGGGAGGAGAAAACATAAAGGCTCACCAAATGACACCCCATCCACATCCAGTACAGCAGGGACACTCATCTGCAAATCTTTCGGCATCACTCGTATTGATTCTACGAGATATAAGATCATCGTAGATATCTGCATTGACCGATAAATGTATACATTACGAGGCATCTATGAGTACACTACAAGCAGTTAAAATGTGGAGAAAATGATGTTGCTTCTTACCATAAACCGAAAACAAGCTGTTCATTACACCTGCACTTTGACAAAAGCGAGTAAGCATTGGGAAACCACAAGTATATGCTACTTTCTTAAGCAATAGCTGAACGAAAATCACGAACTTGCAATTACCGGTGAACAGAATCACTTCCCTAAGCATATGAACCGGCGTTGCTTCTTGCAGATACCAAATTCCAGCAAATAAAACAATGAATCCTGGTCGTTCAAAATGTAAAACATAAACAAAATCACAAACGTCAAGTTGCATCCTGTGCTATTAGTAACAGGAAGGTGTTTTGATTGGAATACGACATGCGTACCTATACAAAGTCCTCGAAGCGTCCACTTGTACGATATCAAGCAGTACAAAAACAACAGGATAAGTATTTCAGTTCAAAAGTTTTACTTCCTTATGAATAAAGTAAATGATGGGTTTGCTAAGACTAACATTTTTAGCTAAAAAGAACACAATAATTAGAGCAACAACGAAACAGCCAGCAGCGATTTGTGTAGTGAGATGTTTTGTAGACGCAAGAATCAATACCATCCCCCAGAACGATGAACCAAGATCTGGCGTGACACAGAATCGAAAGATGATAAGGGTAACGACTAAATCAGATGCAATGTGCAAACCAACTGAAAAATAAATATGGTCAAGGACAGGAAAAGGATTACATCCGGCGGGCAAAATGAGCCAGGATATGCCACCGCGGGTTTGTGTGACTCCACCTTCATCTGCGTTAACCTTAATCCCTTCCACCTGCAAATTAATCTTATCATTTCTCGTCTCAAAAACTAAACGCGACCATTATGAAAAATTTAGATAGAAGGGTGAGAGATTTTCTTACCTTACCACAAGTAAGCAGACATGCGATTGCATGGCTCACCTCGTGAAGAAACACGGTTATAAGCTTAAATGGTGTCATCAGTACCGTCCTCCACAGCTACAAGAATTGACAAAACAGATTGAAACAAAACCATTAGCGGATCCTTTACATGTTTAAAAATTAGATATTTAATCAAAATTGCAATGAGCGAGAGATCGGTGTTCAAGAGAGAGAGAGGTTACCACAAGGATAACGACAGTGCAGACAGCAACGGAGATGAGGAAGATCACTTGGTCGTGGTTGCAGCATTTTCTGAGTTGCCAATTTGGCTTCCATTTCAACAAATTCAAGTCCATTTCTTCACTCTTTTTTTTTATGCCAAATGCTGCAAGAAATTTTCATTTGGCATTGGCGGTACCCCATATAGCGATATGAACAATGAATATAAGAGAAAATTATACAGGAAATACAAGAAATATTTGAATTGCAGATAAAAATCGTCTTCATATAACTATACAAAAAATATATAAATGTAAACACAATGTGGTACCTGCAAGTTGGATTTCAGCAGTTGAATTCGAGGTTAATTTGGCGCGAAGCTAACAGTGTGGCAGAATGGTTTACAAGCCGGAAAGAGGGTGAGCTGTGAAGGCTAAATTCTTCAAGCCCCGCCCTCTGTGCTTCGGATTCTGAACAAAGACGGCCTTCAGGGTCCCCCTGGCGATGAACCGTGGGAGCGCAGGGCTTCTGGGATTTGTTAGTCGAAAATGTTGTTCTCTGTAACTCATGATTTCTGTTTGTTTGATTTGTATAAGGTTTGAGGTTTTTTCTTTCTCTTACGTGGTCGGTGTAAAACAACCTTAAACAGAGGTTTCACCTTAAAATAGTAAATTTTTGACAGTTGGATTATCAAAGAATAAAACAAATTATATCACGTTAGATTGAGATTCATGATTACATTAATTACTTTACATCACATAAAGCTCACAACACAATTGAATTACAAATGGAGGTTATGACTAATCATCTACCTTCGTCCATAGAAGAATGAGACATCGAATTTCTAGAATATTCCTCAATAAAACTGCTCCCGCCGGAGGCCTTGGTGGCACCTGTGTATCCGCTACTGGCATTAGTATTGTTGGTAAAAGCGGAAGTAGAAGTGGTCGTCCAACGTCCTCCACGGCCCTGAAGTCCAGGTTTACCTGGCCTCGGCAAAGTAAATGAATCGCTCGAAAACATGAGATGGATGGAGTTCATGTCTGGCCGTTCTGCAACGCTTGCTTGACAGCATAAAAGTCCTATCTGAATGCACATTGCTGCCTCATCGGGATTGCACCTGGCTAGGGTTGGGTCAACTAAGTCCAATACCTTCCCTCTTTGATGCAGCATCCATGTCTGCAGAACAGAGCAAGGGAACATTGTGAGGAATAAATGAATTGACTGAGAACATATTCATCTACTCATTTCAATGGAAGCCACAATAGCACTGCTTATATGCTGATGAACATTGCGGATAGTAGTTTAACTAGAACACCTAATTAGTTAGGATTACAAAGGTACCAATTCTCGTTAGTCACAATATCGAGGGATCATATTTTAAGTTGATCATTTCTTAATTTGCATAAAAAATTTCCACAGAAGCAACTTACATAGCTCAAGAGATCGGCTTTTTCTCTTTCGAGCTGCCCATCGTGATTCTTTCTCCCGCTCACAATCTCTAACACCAAGACTCCGTAACTGAAAACATCTGTCTTCACCGATAAATATCCATGCATTGCATATTCAGGGGCCATATAACCACTGTATTTAACAAAAGATTCACTCATTTTCGTTTTTCATTGCTCCTCGACGAATAGGATGAAATGGTAAAAAAATTGTACAGCATAAACGCAGAAAGAAGTGATGAAAAGAGACTACTCACTGAGTACCAGAAATCCGAAATGTATTGAGATGAGTGTCCTCCCCAGGAAAGAGTCTTGCCAATCCAAAATCCGAGATTTTCGGATTGAGCTTCTCATCTAGTAATATATTACTAGCTTTGATGTCCCTATGAATGATCCTTTCCGGGGCCTCTTCATGAAGGTAAAGAAGACCTCTTGCCACTCCCATAATCACCCGAAACCTTGTTGTCCAATCCAAACTTCCAGATTTCTGTTTATCTGAAATTTTCAAATAATTAACCAAATGAATTAAACCTTTCAATTCAATCTGATGCTGAACAATGAACATATGAAAACTCAGAAACGGGAAAGAGGAACATACCGAAAAGAAAGTAATCGAGGCTTTTGTTTGAGAGATACTCGTAAACCAGCATCTTCTCAGGCCCTTCTACACAACACCCCAATAACATGACCAAATTCTTGTGCTGAACTCTCAGTAACAGTTTCACCTCGTTGGTGAATTCTCTAGCTCCCTGCCTTGAATCTAAAGACAGCTTCTTTACAGCTATTTCTTGACCATTTGGCATCAAACCCTGCATAGTCCACACAAGTCGGGTAAATATTCAATAAACCGAAGAAAATACAAATAAGTCGTATGTTAAAGATCACGATTTTTTTTAGGACGATATTCTACTTTAATCTAATATAAAATGCGGGAGGTGATTCGAACTATACACATAGGGGAGCACATCCACTCTAGGATCTAGCCAATGTTAGTACGCTCACGTCTACATTAAATCTCCAATTACATCTAACTACGTGTGGGTTAGACCAGTTAGCTAAGGCTTAGCGTAAATTATCCTAGAGTAGTTTAGAATACATATCGTCTTATTAAAAAGCTAACATCTTTAGCTACCAAAAAAGAAAAAGCTCAAAACTTAGCCTTCTCAACTCTCATTCACCTTTGCACGAAAGTTCGAACTCCTCGTCCATACTATAGATTAATTTAGTATAGAATATCGCTTGTACCGAAAAAAAAAAAAAAAAAAAAACACTCATATGTTTACCAATTTACCATCTGAAGAACAGACGGTAACGTTCCTCCAAAAGTTAATGATTACAAACTGAAAATTTGAAGGGAAAAGAAAAAGTATCATCCTTTCCGATACAGTGCGAGCTCAATGGTAAGTCAACGATTAATGCCAAGTAGTGAACTAAACCAACGGTTCTAATGCTGCCACGACAACACCCAAAACTTCAGAAAATACCGGCACCTAATTTTTCCGGGATCAATCACAAGACCCCCAATTACACGAGTCCGTACGTACCTTGTAAACGGGGCCAAAGCCTCCGTGCCCGAGTTTGTTGAGGTCGGAGAAGAAGCTGGTGGCGATTTGCAGCGCGTGGAGGTCGAAGAAGAGATCGAAGGACTCAATTCTGTCCTCGGCGTCGTCGACTCCAGCTGCGGCGGACCGTCCGCCGGCTTTCAGCTTATCCAAGCAGGCCCAGAAACCGGAGCAGATGCAGCACCCCATGACCGCATAAAATTGGCGGCCCAGCAAATTACTGGCGGTTGGCGGCGGGTAATCAGATTCAGCTGCTGCTTTCACTCGACCGTACAATGCGACGCCGAGTTTGGCGACGACCGCGTAGTTCGTATGAACGCTATGCTGACTCAAGATCCGATAATATGCGTGTTAATCGGGGGTCCAACGTTGGAGTTTCTTGTAAATTTCTTTCTCCCATGTCATTTTCTTTAAATTTGAAATTGTATATTTTCTGTTTTGTTTCAGGTATTCTATTAAAGAAATCTTCTTCGGATCCCTTTTACCTAGTTTATCAAAGTCATAAATTCGAATTTTTGAAATTCAATTCAACGGTTACAGTTGTTATAATTTTTAAAATAGCTCATGTTTGAAACCGTTGGATTAACTTTCAAATGTCTGGATGATCCCCTTCCCTGTTGGGTTTTCTTACAATTTCTTAATATTATATTTCGCCGACAAATCGTAGTCATATTCTGGTCAAGGGTACGTATTAGTACTAAGAAATATGAATACGTTTGAGAAGCCAACTGGTCAATTAAAATCTTGTGTCCCCACTTTATTAACCGTATTATGACCCGTTCTTGTCAGTGCGCGATTTATAAATATAGGAATATGATATTCATATATTTTATTTTATTTTTTATATATATTTTTTATTTCTAACCGTCAGATCAGGTGAATTGAAGAAGATCAACGAGAAAAAATTATTAAGTAATATGTAAGAAGTAAAATAAAGTATGTGAATAGCACATCTCTAAATTTATATCAGTGATTCTTACCTAAATTCATTCAAGTGTTTTGTTCCTTTGGGTTTTCTTACAATTTCAATATTATATTTTCGGACAAGTCGGTGGGACATTCTAATCAATGACACGTGTTAGTGGAAAACTTTTGAGAAGTCATCTGGTCAATTAAAATCTTGTCGCCCAACTTTATTAACAAAGAAAACGTGTTGTCAGCAGTTCTCATTGGTGTGCAATATATAAATTTTTACATAAATTCACAATGGTGGTAGCTGATAGTTGGCAATTATGTGCCACAAGTAAGTTCTTTTGACTTGAGGTTATAGGTATACGCTGACGTTAATAATGAAAGTAACCAATCTCTCCTAAACATTTTTTGATTGAAAAAATTAATAATAAAACAAATTAAAAAATGTGTTGCATGTTCTCTGTCTTCGTGCACACCACTATTTATTTATATTTTCTAATGCAACAACAACAAAATTTTATCACATTAAATGAGATCGGTGATATGAGCCGTATAACGTTACTGTACTTAAAATTTTGTCAATTTTTTCGTTAGCTTCAAATAATCTGTGTATTTTCTTAGAGTATTCTAAACTATTAAAATTTATAGAACAAATTTGTTCAGACTCAAAGGTGCAAGGAAACGAGGATACCTTTAGGCTTTGGATCCGAATAGGTTAACTGAACTTGACCCTAAACATAATACATTCAAAAGTAGACATCGTTGATTTAGACCTTAATTAATGATTGTTGACCATAATTTTGTATGGATCAATTAATTTAGACCTTAATTAATGATTATTGCCCATAATTTCGTATGGTCCCATTAAAATAATTAACAACGTCGATGGAGTAACTCTTTGTCTTCTTTTGTTTGGTTGGAAAAGGGTGAAGTTGGTTTATATGTTGAAAAACGTTAAGGGCACTTTTTCAAAAGAGGAGTTCTCTATGAATTTACTGTCATCTCGTGTTTTTGACATAATGTTTTGTAATATTGACATGAGAATTGATATTAAACTACAAAACGGCAGAATGTTTATGGATAGTCTCATTTTTGAAAGAGTCTTCTTAAGAATTTTCTTATATGTTTCAAGCTCACGAGTTTTGCGATTGTCCACACAACCTTTTGGTTTAATTAGGTTAATAATTAAGTTCCTATCATATGCAGGTTGTATTTTTACCAAACAAGGTTCTCTTAGGCATTAAAAAAACGTGAAAGATTGATTATAATTATCCTGACTTTCAAACGCGTTTAGTGAAATAAGCGTGGATTAATTAAAAAGTTTGACCCATAAGCCAAAAATCAAATTGAATACTTATATCTGGCAATGAGTTGCGGTTGGAGAGTTTGTAATCTGACTTTTAAGTTTGCTTGACAAGGATACATGTATATAGATAATATCATGTCAATTTGAATTCCATGAATAGACTGTGAGATACTCAAAACCATCTTCAATAGACTGAGAAATTCAAAGGCATCTTCAATAGACTCTGAGAAACTCAAAACCATCTTCAATGCGTTAACGGTTATCGAACGAATGCTACGAACATTGGATGATTTAGATTAGTTTGGATTATTGCTTTTATTGTGGTCCCGTGAATCTAAGTTATCCAATACTCGTAACATTTATTAAAGTGAAACCCTTTGAAAGTGAGTACTTTCACCCTTGTAGACTTGTTGTATCACATGACACACGTCTAGAGATGATATCATTTTTTGTAATTCTTTAAGATGAGCATTGGGTATAATGTTGATTTAGTTCCTAAATTATCACCTGCTTAAAATTAGGTCCTTAAACCATTTTTTTTTTTTTGGGAAAATCAATCCTTAAACTAATCAAATCTGCCAATTACATCCCTAATATTAGATTCGGTATTCTATTCAAATTTTCGTCAATTTAAGTCACGTAACTTGTATGTGATACACTTTGAAGGCTAGATTGGTATTTTTCATAGTTTATGGATTTATTTTTTTGGAACAAATAGTGTTTGGAGGATAAATTAGACGTTAGATTCATAATTGGATAAAATAGCTTTGAATATAATATTACTAATGAAATTAGCAGTTTTTATGAATTTAGAGACTTATTTTACTGAAACAATAATTTAGGGACCTAATTTTCAATGAGGTGATAATTGAAGGCTTAAATTGATCGTTCAGCCTTTTATATAAGGGAGTTTTAACGAAACACTTCCGGTACTATTCACTTTAACGAAAAAGGACAATTTTACTCTAAAAAGTAACTCCTGGTACTATTCAATTATAACACCTTTTTTTTATTTTGATTAAAACTCAAAGATATTATAGAATTAGGTAGGCCCAAACCAGCAAATGGATGTTGAACTTAGTTATTGGGCTTTATTGGTTTAGGACACTAAGGCTGGAGTACGATCCAGTACCAAAACTAGCCTTCATACTTTTCTAATCTGAGTCCATAAGGCCCAAGTTTGTATTTCAACTGACCTCCCAGCCCAAAGGCATGTCTGGAATCATAAGTTTTTCTCCTCGCATTTTTTTTTCCACCAGTGAACGGTTAAAATTTAATTAAATCTTATTTAGTTAATTATAATTATTATCCTTCATCCTTTGATGCACAGGAGAGCAAAAGCTCAATCTGGAATTACTTTTGAATGTGGTAAAAGTGTTTTCTATCACAATATTTAACCGATAGATTAATCATTTTTCCAAAAAAAGAAAAAGAAAAAGAAACCTATGTCAACAAAAATAAACCCAATTTTACAAGAATTACTTGAATTATTAAATTTCAAGGTCTTCTAAATAAAAACACTACTAGCAAAAATTTATACGAACAAAAACATTCCCTTCAAAACAATTAGGTGGTGTGTCATTAGTCATGCTTGATTATAACACTGTTTCTTAATTTTTGGTTTTTTAATTTCGATCGAAACAAACTATTTCACATTTCACATCAATGGTTGACTTGTAAATTAATTTTTGAGAAAATTAGAGAGTTTTTTAATTTTAGCCTAATTAGAGGTTAGTCCATGAATTTTGGTCCAATTGGAGATTTGATTATTGAACTAAAAATCGGTAGATATTGGTACTTGAATTTAGCATAATGTGGAACTATGAACCATTTTGCTAATTCCGTTAAACCTTCCATCTAAAATATAGTTTTTAAATGGGCAAAAAATGGATGGATGCTTAACGGAGTTAGTCAAAATGATCATTACTTTTTCTTATTTTTTGTCAAACAATAGATTTGTTAACTTAAGCGTTAGATTAGGAAGTTGACGGAGTTTGAACAAACGTTATGAGGCAAGGACAACACTCATCTCCACCATTATAGTAGAGAGTCACTTGCACCATTACTTCACATTATTCCAAATTCAGGGATCAATACTCAAAAAATTTTAATTCAAGGACCAAAATTTCAATAGAGGCCGTGACTTCAATTATTTTTTGAGTAAATTGTAGCAATGGTTCCTTAATTTTAACTCTATTGAAGCGATGATCCCTCAACTAAAAATTCATTATCATTGGTCCCTCAACTCATCAAAACGTGCAACTATGGTCCCTCAACTTTAATTCAACTGGAGAAATGGTCCATTAAATTTAATCCAATTGGAGCAATGATCCCTCAACTTTAACCCCAGTGTAGCAATGGTCATTCTAACATAACTCATTTTGACAAAATTCTAATGAAGTTGACGAAAATGACCATAGTTATACATTTTGATGAGTTGAGAGACCCCAATTGTAGTAATATTCATTCCAACATAACTCATTTTGACAAAATTTTAATGAAGTTGACGAAAAAGATCATAACTACACATTTTAACGAGTTAAGAGACCAATAGTAATAAATTTTTGGTTAAGAGACCATTGATCTAATTTGATTAAAATCGAGAGACCATTAATAATATTTACTATTATCTCTTCAATTCCTTGTCCTTTAGTTTTTTTAAATTTTTACATCTTTCCCAATGTACCCCCGCGAGAGAGTTAGAATTACATCCTCCTTTGCAACGCACCCTTTTTTCACCTCTTTTTCCTCTGAGCACGAAGCCGCCATTGACGACCTTCCCCCGAGCTTCCATACTCAGAAGCAGGCATCGGAACGAGAAAACCCTCGCTTCTCGATCCCAGAGGATGTTGCGCGTGTAGAAAGAAAGAAAAAATTGGGAAATTAGAAGATGAGGTCGTCGTCTTCTTCCGATAGAATTAACATTGCTGCGAGTGCTCAAAGACTCGATGTCGACAATCGGATTCCTCTGCGTATTTACTTTCGGATCGCAAACAATGTTCTTAAGCAGGTTTCACTTCACTCTCTCTCCCTCCATCCTTAATTTATCAGCAATTTTGTGAATTAAATTTCCATTAATTTAGAATTCAGGTTGGTAATTTCGAATTAATTTTGTTAATTTTACTTATGTGGAAGTAGAATTTGGATTTTAGATGCTGCGTTCTGCTCTCTTTTTTTATTTATTTATTTAGATATGAGAATTATATGTAATTTGAGTTTCAGAAGCTCAAATATGTTGTATAGATCATTAGGGTTTCGGAGGATGTCAAGAATTTAAATTTGTAGCTTTCGGTCGATGGGATCACAGAAAATAGTTGCAGAAGAACAGACACAACAAATTTGATCGCTTGTAGGGATCATCGTTTTGTTGAGAGGATCAATCTCATGTCAGAGAAATGAGGGACCTTGCATGTGCTTATAAGTAGGGTGGAACCTCAACTTTTTTTTTTTATGGTATCAAAGCAAGTTGTCTCTCGTGTGAAGCCCAACAGCCACATGTGATCTATGTCATCCGATTTGTGTTGCCCACGTGCTAGACTTGAAAATTCGTCACATGTGAGGCAACGAGTATCAATCACACATCTGGAAAAGGAGGGACCTTGCATGTGCTTATAAGTAATTGGGCTATTCCTCATATTGCCAATTGGTTTTATAGTGGAACCTCAACTTTCTTCACATTCAAGTAGGAAATAACTACATAAAGGAAAGTAATGCAGTTTCTATGGCGAGAACAAGAGCAACATTCTAGACAGTTTCCGTGTTTGACACACGCAAATTATGGAAATTTATCGGTTTTGTAGTGAGGGCTTTGCTATTCTGGTGTCAATGCATACTATCTTGTGCATTCATATTCTAAATTCTAATACATGTCCTCCATGCGTGCATATCCGGTGCCGCTATAATGTAAACCAAAGTGCATTTTCCTCTTAATATTCCAATGTTATATAGATTATGATATCAATCTTTTATTGTTCCTTTGAGATTCTTGTCCTTTTTATATTACATGAATATGATTAAACATGTATTTCCCCCACAGTTTAGTTTCTTGTTTTCGTTTAAAATGTCTTTTCAGCTCCTAATAAATTTGTCTATTTCAAGGCTAACATATTTCGACACGAGAAGAATATTATGGACCTATACATTATGCTACTAAGGTTTTCAAGGTACGTATGAAAGCACCACTCAATTAATTATACAATCAGCTAGGTTGTATGAAGTAGGGCAACAGTATACACAAAATGTTGGAGGAGATACGCAAAAATGCGTAAAAATAACGGTGAAACTTTTTGGTTTTCTACTTCAGTTTGGTCTCTGAGACAATACCGTGTCATCGGGACTATAGAGTATCTGTTCAAGGAGAGAAGGTTTTCTTGAAAAAGGTAATTTTATCATATCATCTTTAGTTATAATAAAAGTTATTTTCATTTCTCTGTTTCGATGCACTTTATAATTTCGGTTTTTTGCTTTAGAAATTGTTTGATGCTCTAAATGAGCTCGAGGAGCTCAAGCCAGCAGTGAAACAGAAGCTTAAGCCAACAGTGAAACAGAAGAGCGATGAGTTTAACGGAATAAATGGAAAGTTGAACAACGGGTGGAGCCATAATCACCAAATTGGTTTGGTGGCATCCCCTCTCAAGAAGCAATCTTTGATTAGCTATGATGCAACCAAGGTACAGTTAGTGCTTGCTTCTTTATCATACTAGCGGACATTAGATGTGTATCATAAGAAAAAAAAGGGGAACTACTGATTTCAATTTTCGTTCTTTGACTCTGTTGCCTGCCAGTTTTATTTACTCCTTATACTTTGCTTCCGACTGATACTATTATATGTTTCCTGTTGAAACAATTTTTACTTCCTTATGATATTCCATGTATGACAGGCAGCAGGACCAGCTGCAAGAGAACTTGTCCATCAACCTCTAAGGTCTCAACAATTTTCCTATGCCAGGCCTTTGGAGCATCAATTTCGCAAACTGTAAGTATTTATATACTTTACAAAGGTATCTTCTTTATACTCTTATAAAAACACTAAGAATATGCCCTACATGCTTTACGCACAAAATTTAGTTTACTTCCATGAGAGGGTAATTCGAGGATTTCTGGAATCGGGATAATCATGCATATAACCTTCTATGTACATGTGGAATTTTAAAAAGGATTTCCAGCTGCATATTAACGGAAAAAAAAAAAAAAAACATTTTGAGAGCCATCTTATCTGAGGCCAAGATTATTCTGCATGTGAAATTTGCTAATATGTCATTGCATTTGAACCTTCTTTTTGTTTCTGCTTTCAGTCTTGTCGCATATTTGCCACACATGTACTGTATGGGACAGTGAGAAAATGAGTTAAGTTTGATATTATGAAATGCTCCTGATCTTGATTGCCCTTGCTTGTTTGCCTTTTGTAGATCCATAGTTCCACGTCCAAATGAGGAAACTCTTTCCAGACATTCTGTTTTGGGCCCAAATGGGCTTAACAGACAGTGGCAGCCACCCAGAAGTGATACAGGGGTATGATGCTATCTGATTACTGCTTTTGGTTCAAAGTAGAAAAAAGGAATGTTCACTTTTCTTTTAAATTGTAGGTTCGGTATCCAAGTATTTTAGACTTAACTCCTGTTGAAATCCCAAGGTATGTCTCCTGGTTAACTTTCTGAGGCTCTTTTTTGGTTCTTCTGTACCTCTAGTTGCAGTTGCAATGGATCTAAATAATGGTATAGGAATTCTTTTTATCTTTTTTCATGGAGTGATATGATTGTTCAAACGGGAACTTGATTTTTAAACATTCCAGACAGTTCTCATTCCTGATATGTTTCTGGTTTTAAAGAGTTTATACTTTCTGATCATTTTTCTGGGCAAACAGACTGGGGCAGTCCGTAGAAGATGAACATACAATTATAAAAGATGGAAAGACAAATGTAAATGACGCTAGCGATTTGGAACCTGAAACGTCAAGTTTGGAACCAATTCTTAGCCAGACTACTGATGGTGGCCAGAAGGATTGTACAGCGGAACTTTGCTCCCTCATTTCTTTTGAATCAACAGAAACTCCTGATGATACAAAACTTATCAGACAGCCTTCTCCTCCGCCTGTTCTTGCGGAAGTACAAGATTTGATCCCAGCAATTTCATCTCAAGCCTCCGAGGTAGAATGTGAACTGGAGACTCTTTCATCAGATGAACTTCTTCGTGCTGAATCTCCCCTGGAATTACATATTGTAAGATTCATGACAAGTTATTTAATGTTTACTGTATTTTCTCCCCTTTTGGGCTTTCAGCTGTTTGTCAGAACAAAAAATTAGAAATTTTTAAATGCAAGATCTTTCTGATGATAAAACCTTATGATAATTATTTGATCAGGTATGCTGAAAACCAATGACATTGACAAAAACCTGTAGGTTCTCCCTTTACCTAATAATTTGTTTCTCTTTGCAGTCAACGACAATGATGGAACATTTCATGAAGCTGGCTAAGTCAAATACTGACAAGAGCTTAGAGACTTGTGGCATCCTAGGAGGCTCACTAGTAAGTCTGCGTAACTAATTTACTGCTCAAAGTCTTTGACTTCTTAAGATACTAATGTTTTTATACGTCTTTTGTCAGAAAAACAGAAAATTTTATGTTACAGCTCTCATCATACCCAAACAGGAGTCAACTTCGAATTCGGTGTGGCAGTTTTGTGCCTTTTGAACTATTTCATGTTTTGTTCTCATATATCAGTATACTTGGCCTGGAGATATAACTCTTGTCCACTGTACATTTTCTTAACAGTGTCAGGCCACGAATGAAGAGGAAATATTTGAAATTCAGGATAAACAATCTCTCTTTCCTCTTGGCTGGATACATGTGAGTATTTTCAATCGCTGATGAAAACATCATGCTTTGACCTTCCTCTGATTCATGGACTAAAGCCAGTTTCATATTTGATTTGTTTGTGATTTAGCAAAAATAGTAACATTTCCATAACTCCTGGTTTCGTTTAAAGGATAATATGTAAATGTAATATGATAAAAGGCATGTCTGCAGTTGCATCTGTTTCAATGACTAATCTATATATGCATAAGTTTACCCCGGGATTCTCTTTTAGTTCCAATCATTATGCTGACCATTCAATTGTTCACTATGGCACAATTTTCAGACGCATCCTACACAGTCTTGCTTCATGTCGTCAATTGATCTCCATACCCATTATTCATATCAGGTGAATGCCTTTTATCTTCTGTGCATTGCTTTCTTTATCTCAGTTGGAAACCACTTTTAAGTGCTTAGAGGATATAAATTTTTTTTATATAGACAGAAGCTAAGATGTTAATGTACAAAATTATAAAACCGTGGTTTACACAAATGCTTCTTCCATGTTCAGATTATGTTGCCGGAAGCTGTTGCAATTGTCATGGCACCACAAGGTGGTTCAAGGTAAAAGATCGATCACATCTCCTTGAATATCTTGCATTATTGGTGGTGTGACCGTATAAATCGTTCTTACTGGCCTTGCATTAGTTTTGGTACAATATCTTTTGTTTTTTCACATGTACAGAACCCATGGCATTTTCCGATTGACAAACCCAGGCGGTATGTCAGTCATTAGACAGTGCCAGCACCGTGGTTTTCATCCACACGATCAGCCACCAGACGGTGGACCCATTTACAAGACCTGTGCAGATGTTTATATGAACCCCAATCTAAAGTTTGACGTTATTGATCTTCGATAGTTAGACAAACGGTATTCAGATGGCTAACCTTCATTCCTGCAATTGTTCATATATATTTGAGTACAATATTCGATTTATAGAATTGGCCCGTCGTATGTACAAGTATTCTTTTTTGTGTGTAAAGCATGAAATGTTGCCAGGCATGGCTTCAACTTGGAAGACTTGGGAACTGTTTCGGTCGTTTGTCGATTACGCAAGTGTTTTAGTGCATATTTAAGCATTGGGGTCGAAGAGTGTTGCGAAAATGACTTGCATTTTACGGGTTTTTAATGTACAGATTCATCTGAATTTTTTGGTAACCTTAATCGTTTTCATTTTATGTGAAAGGAAGAAGGGTTATAAAAACGATCAGGGTTTCCGGAAACGTCTTTATTGATACTTTTTGTTAAAAACACTGTTCTAAGAATCTTTGCCTAGGGACTAGATGGTCGGCCACTATTCCGGTTTCCCTAGGTGTTTGATAATTAAGAAAGGGGATCTAGACCTGCTTAGGCGCTTGCGTAGACTGCCTAGACACCCGCCTAACCCCGTCCAAACTCGTCTAAACGTCTGTCTAGGTTGCAATTCTTACTTAGACAGAAAATAGATAAGTTTCATTTTGCATTTTATTTTTTTCAATAAATTGTAACAGAGGCCAGACCTCTCGCTTTCAAAGCGATAAGTGTCACTGCAACGCCATTCTGTGATCTTATAGTTGAGAAATAAGAATGGGATAAGCTCCTTACAAAAGTAAAGTACTTTCAGAGTTTACTAGAAAGCACTGTAAGGGAATCGCTTTTTTATCTCTAAAAGTAAGGACGGGATTCCATCGAACGTAAAGCCTTCTTACGCCTTATTATCGAGAGTTTTTACTGGTAGTAGTACCTCTGAGGAGGGCTTTAACAGTACTTCTGCTTAGAGAAAATGGGCCTAGTAAAGAAAATAAAAAAAGCCTACAAGATTGACTCATAACAGAAAGGATTAACCCCCTATAATGCTAATAAGAAAAAAAGGGCCTTATTAGTTATTCAAGTAATCAAGGTCAGTAAAGCGGGAAGAAATTAACCAAGCAAAGGATACTGAAAGCGATGAAGCAAAGAAGGTCTACCTGAAGAGCGGCATCTGTTTTACACAGGACAGTGTCGAGAGACCCATTCTCGATAGAGGAGAGTAGGACAGAAGACAGGGCCAGACGAGAGCTTGAATGGACAGGTAAGGGGCAGACTGATTGCACCTACCAGGCACAGGACTTATTGGCTTAAGAAGCAAGCCAAAAAAAGAAGGGATTTGCTTACAGAAGTACTATCCATATTAATAACGGGAATATATCTATTTGAAGGAAGGTACTCGTGTACGGGAATCGAAGTGATTAGAAGAGAACTGAGCTTTCCAGCGAGGAATGAAGAAGCAAGGGACATCTATACTTTATATTAACTTTATGTATTCTCTCTTTTAATTGATTGGATAGGTTCTTTCTTTTGTTTACCGTAGTATTAGCTGTACTTCTTTCCTCATGTTTCATTCCCTACTTAGTACTGGTCTGGTATTGAGGTGTTTTTATAAAAAGTGGGTATAAAAAAAAGCTGAGATCAAAAATGTGTTTGACAAACACTTTAAAACATCATATTTTCATAGTTTTTGGTGAAAAAAAGTTGAAAACGTGAAGCACATAAATGTTGGATTATGATTTCTTGTTAAACATTAGATTATAAAGTTAAAGTTTATAAATATTTTTCTTTTAAAAATAAAGTATATTTAGTAATTCACCTTTATTTGTTAAGAAAATTAAATTAATGGCACATCTAGTATTATACCATTTTTTGTCATTTCACATAGTCATAGCTGTTTTACATAAAAGTTTACTAAACACTATAATACTGCTTTTTTTTTTTCAAAAGCACTTTTACAAAAATGTTTACCAAACACTCTTCTGCTTTATTTCATAGCTGCTTATTCTCACAGCACAGCATAAGCAGTTTTTTTTTAAAGCACAACAATATCAAATCTGCCCTTAGTCTATTAGGGTCATAGTCAATAGTAGTCTTTCGGTTGCTGTACTATTCCAATTTGCCTATTTTCTCTAGTGATTTAAGTTATAGTACTTCCTCAGAGGGATTGAACTAGCCTTTTGACTAAATAGATATGTGCATAGAGAGGTAATCCTTCACTACAGGCAAAAAGGAGAGCGACTTTCCAGCAGAAAGAAGTAAAGGAAGAAGCAAAAGCTTTTGGCTGAGTCAAATAGGATTTAATTTCCGTAAGCCTGTTAGTGCAACTTGTCTAGAAGATATTTTAAGGGAGATTGTTAGATGAACATACATTATATGTTTATTTTTCATGTCTTCATTATGTTTTAATATTTTATAATTTATGTCATTTTATTTTGTAATTTATTTATTCCAATGTAATCTATATTTTTAAGTATAATCAGACACTTATTTATACAATATATAATGAATATGCTTAACATCCGCCAAGCTCCCTAGACGCTAGACCCCAATCTACCATCTTTTAAAATTTTGGTTGAAAATACATCACTTTTACCTTTCCACAAGAAAGAAACCAATTCCTTTATCTCTCTCTCTCTCTCTCTCACTCAAAAGGAGTGGACCTAGAGAATTACATTATCGTCTTCCTTCCATTTTTTCTCCTGAGCTTTTTCAATGAAAGAAAATCATCTTAAACTGGGTACCACCAAACCATACGATAGAAATGATTCCTCATGAGTCGGTCCATACATAGTTCCCTTTTACATGAACACGCTAATATGATGATTGCTTGGTTGAGGTCCACAAAAAAGCAATAATTCGAGCTATATCACTACGATGGTATATCAAGTCAATAACTCGTTGCTATTATTAACGTATTTTGACTGAATGACACATTAACAAGCATACTTAAATTACATAGTAATTGGTGATAGGATTTAGGTAAGTTCAGGTCCATACCCTTATTAATAATCGTTAATTAGGACGGCTTAGATAAAATAGGACGTTAACGTGCCACTGTCCCAAACCAATTAAATGATGTTATGTACAAACGAGTGATAAATTAAGACACCGACACAAGCAAGCGCACCTTCGCCTTATCTATGTTGAAGTACCCTTGTACCCAACAAGGGTTCTTTCTCATGTGACTCACCATTGCTGAATGCTGATCCAGCAAGATACCAAGTCCAAGTGGTTCCCACATATGTACACGATGAGTGGTTTATCAATTGTGGTTGTGGGGAAGTCTCTGCATCCTAATCATCCACCCTAAAGAGTGGAAAAGGAGACTGGTCACATGGCCAGTTGCCATGCATGGATTTTGAGGTAATAAGCGACCTCGAAGCTGTCTTTGCTTTGAAGTTTATAGCACAAAACAGACTTAACCATGTCATTTGCACAGATTCTAAACAAATCTATAGCTTTTGTTCAGTTATATTTCTCTACCTTTTTGCTTTTGGGAGTTTTAGTGGGGAGATTCTAAACAAAACTGGTTTGCATGCTTCTGTTGTGTTACGTAGAAGTTGGGTTGCTTTAATTTCTTTCACTTTTGTTTCTAGTCAGAAAGGAACAACGGGTTTTGAGAAGTTTGGTTTACTTTAAATTTGGAGGGTTCAAGGAGAGTATCTGTAGGTACACCTTCTCCATACTTGGTTGAGCAAGATAGCTTCTGTTTTGTACACTTCAAGCTTTTTTTTTTTACTGATAAAAACAAGTCCTATGTTTTTTTGTCTGTAAATATCTGTATGTTATGTAGGGTTTGGTAAAAACATGACAGGTATTTTCTCATCTCGAGCTTGTTTATGGTTATCGATTGCATCAGTTGGACTTGTGTCCATTTCGACAATATGTACCTGCCTGCCTGGCCTTCAACTATCGTCTAACGTTTAGTCTTAAGCTGAGTTGAGTGTGATGAGTGCGATCGGTCCTCATCACGCGAATTATTTGTGATTCTCAATGAAACTCAGCAGCACCTGTTTGTTGGAAGTGAAGAAAATTGAAGTTTCACCGTTAAACCAATTGGCAATATGGGGAATAGCCCAACTTACTTATAAGCTCATGCAAGGTCCTTCATCCTATCAATGTCGAATACATTCTCAATAGACGTTATATAGCCAATTGGTTTTGTAATGGAACCACAACTTTCCTCATGGTATCAGAGTTGGTTGTCTTATATGTGAAGCCCAACGGCCACACGTACTCCATGTCACCCGAATTATGTTGTCCACGTGTTTAGCTTGAAAATTCGCCACACATGAGGGGACGTGTTAAGAATGAATCTCACATTGATAAGAGGAGGGATGTACATGTGCTTATAAGTAATTAAGCTATTTTTTATATTCCCAATTAACTTTATGGTGGAACCCCAACATTTTTTCAAGAAGCATCGTCTAATTTACATGCATAAAAGTCTTTAACTTTCAGGAATACCTTGTCAAGTTTATGGCTCGACTCAATCACTTGTATTGTAATACTATTGACAGTGTTAAGCCTTAATACGGACGTCGCGGTAGCAGCTGCCATGTTTTTTCACGATGCTACACACACACGCGGTTGAGCAGCTGCCATGTTTTTTCACGATGCTACACACACACACGAGCCCTTAATGCAAGGGATCCTCATTTTTTTCAAAAAATGGGGACTAGGTGTGGGGTCCACTCCATATCGAATTTCAACGATCTGAACCGTCTAGTTTGTAAGTCTCAATTTATAGATCATTTTTGCAAAAATTCAATTCAATCCAAAATCATTTGCCTATTTAATTATCAAGATAAAATTTCATTGTTTCTTATATAAGTATTCTTTAATGTTTTTGAATCCAATTAGATGTTTTAAATATTTCGGATTTGGCTAATATTTTGTAAGGATGATCTATGAGGTGCAACTTGAAAAATTGACGGTTCAGATCGTTAAAATTCAATGTCGTGTGAACCCCACAACTAATCCCCATTTTTATAAAAATAATAATAATAATAAGGATCCCTTCTTTTAAAGGCTTTCTCCGTGTATATCCATCATCCCATCTTACAAACTATTGTTTGTGATGTACATATTCATTTGAATTTTTTCGTAACCCTAATCTTTTACGGAAAACGATTAGAGTTAACGGGAGTCTTTATTTTTCACTTTTAGATTTGAAAATACATCACTTTTACCTTTCCAAAAGAACTCCCATCTTTTTGTATCTTTCAAGAAATGGGGATTGAGAATTACATTATCTACTTACTTCTTTTGTTTTTCACTGAGCTTTTTCCGATGAAAGAAAGGCATCTTGAATTAGGTGCCACCAAACCGATATAAATGCTTCCTCATGAGTCGGTCCCTTTATAATTTCCTTTTACATGAAGATGCTGGTATGATGATTGTTCAGTTGTGGTTCACAAACAAGCATACTTCGATCACATGTCGTTGTGATAATATCTTAAGTCAATAATTTATTAACATATAAAAATGTTAAATCACATGAAAATTTGTGATTTGATTTGGACACTGCAACTATGACATCTCTTAGTATAGGTAAGTTCATGTCCATACCCTTACAATTACTAATTTGGTGAACTTCGATAAAAGGGAGATGCTTAAGTGTCAATGTCTCAAACTAATTAATCATGCGACGTTAAGTGAAAATGTTAAGTTACGCCTAATACATTTGAGACACTGCCACCTTATTGTCTCTATTACAATTAATTATCTACCTAACTAGTTAAGCAAAGAATCAATGAGAACTACGCATTTTCCTTATCTATGTTTGAGTACTTGCTTGTACCCATCTAGTATTCTCATATCACTCACCATTGTTGAATGCTGATACAACAAGATACCATGTCTCAAGTGGGTTCCATATATACACAGTGAGTGGCTATCAACATGTCCTTCCAAAGGGAGGGCTGAGCATTGCAAACTAGAAGCTTATGGCCATTGAGAATGAGATCAATTGCGGTCTCTGTATTCAGAGTCCGCGAACCAAGAGATCTAGACCGTTCAAGAGAGAGAAAGAGATCGGGGCCGTTTAAATTTTCGGACTTTTGTGAAGTGGATTAGTAGAATAGGCTAATGGAGGCTGTAAAATTAAATTGAGTGGTCTAGATCTCTCAGTCCACGAACTTCAAACACAGAGATCCAGAGTGAATCTCAATCCACAACATCCGTGGCCATTGTGGCTTGTGGGGAAGTCTCTGCATCTTCAATCATCCATTCTAAAGAGTGAAAAAAAGAAGACTGGTCAAATGGCCAGTTGCCATATATGGATTGTCCTCTACAAGGTAGAAAGAGTTTGAGCCTTTGGGGTTCATGCTCCCAACCCTCCCCATACCTTAATGTTTCGGTCTTCTCGTCTACTATAAGTTAGAAAATGTGAAATTCAAACTTGACTTTAAGAGAACAACTACGTTATCTTGACTAACTAACCTAAATTGTATTTTCAGCCTTAACTAAACAACAGCATGTTGCAATTCAAAGTATAAGAAAATTGCTCAAATGGACCTACATGGACAGTGAGGGTTAGCTTACAAGTTTGTTCCTATCCATAATACGATTTTTAATTTAATCCTTTTCTTAAAAATGGATTCCTTATTATTTCTGAAATCAAAAGTCAACAATGCCCACAAATAGGTTTATTCAAGAATATCCTAATGGAGGTTCGAGAATCTAATAATTTTAAACCTTACAACCTTAAGAGGTAAGCAAAATCAGATTCTTCGTAAATACATAATGACAAGAGGTCTCACTCTCTTACATCAATGAACACTTTTTGAGAATGTCAAATACGTCCTTGCTAGCAAAGGTGTATTAAACTATTATATGGGGATTAGAGGATGCAATGTCTAATTAAGTCTCAATAATTTATGAGAAGATGGAGTGCATGGTTACGAAAAAGAGACTGCATGAATATTATGTGCACCCTAACCTAACCTAACCCAGTCAATTGTACTATGTCATGGTTAATTCAAAATTTTGATGGTATTGGTATAGCATCACCACCTCAATAATTCGAAGCATCTTTCAATCTCCAAGTTTCAACCTACCCGATTCTTTATCATTAATGCTTACTTACTCCTGTGTTCCAATTGGAAAATTTTCAGCAGTGAAGTCTTTTTCGTTCCAATTCATCATATTCCCTATGCTTTGATATAATTACAACTCATGGGACTAAAAATTATGGGCACATGAGGTATCATTATAATACCAACAATCCGTTTCATTTAAATTTCTCGTAAAACTTTATAAATTATCTCTTTCATTTTTCAATATCAATCTACAATTATTTGAACTGTCTATTTTCTAGATCATTCTTTAAAGATTTAGAGATCAACTATGTCAAAAATCAAGCAAATCGAAAATTATTTAGTCATTTCTAGAGTTGATATTAAAACAGTAAACTATAAAATCAAGAGTTTTGATTGTTGTATAACATTATAAAATAAAATAAAAAGTTGAGAAATTAGCATGAAAATGTTTGAATGAGAAAGTTGTTGACATCCCATTCTTGAAAGGCAACAAATAAAGCAATTATCAATTTATCAATTGAATATGCAGAGATTGGTGGATGCTAAATATATATTTGCATAAACTGCTCAATCATTACCAAATCTGTTTTACGATTGCCAAACCAGTTACTACCCTTCGCATGTTTGTTTGAAGCATCTAATTTTTATTGTTTTTTAGATTTGGTTGGTTGGTTGGTCAGTCGGTTCTTTTATCTGATGTAAGTTGTAACCAATTTGTGCAATAATTAAGCATTTGATCGTACTGAATAATTTAAAGTTTTTTGAATTTCGGGAATATCTTTTGCTAAGTACTTTTGGCTTACTCAATAACTTGTATTGTAAAACTACTGACAATGAGTCAAGCCGCTTCGAAAACGTACGTCGTGGTTCAGCTGCTGCCATATATAAATTTTGTCAGTACCTATCTTAGCTGAGACGAGAAAATCTATTGTGTCCTTGGGGAGGAAGTTATTTGAAATCAGGACGTCATATACTTACACGATTAAGTATATCATATGTTGTTATGTATTTTACTTATATATATATATATATATATATTGGGAAGGAAGTTATTTGAAATCAGGACGTCACAGACTTACACGGTCGAGTATATCCCGTGTTGTTATGTATTTTACTTAACTACTGGCAATGCTTCAAGCCGCTTCGAAAACGTACGTCGTGGTTCAGCTGCTGCCATATATAAATTTTGTCAGTACCTATCTTAGCTGAGACGAGAAAATCTGTTGTGTCCTTGGGGAGGAAGTTATTTGAAATCAGGACGCCATATACTTATACGGTCAAGTATATCACGTGTTGTTATGTATTTTACTTATATATATATATTGGGGAGGAAGTTATTTGAAATCAGGACGTCACAGACTTACACGGTCGAGTATATCACGTGTTGTTATGTATTCTACTTATATATATATATATATATATATATATATATATATATATATATATATATAACATCAAGTAATGAGTTCGGAATATCATTACATTAACGTCTCAGTTGCCTATAAATCATTCTCGTGTCAAAGATAAACAATGATGTTTTTACTCAATGAATTGTAAAAGAGTTTAAAATTTTTCTTAATACGCTTGCAAAAGATATTGCGAAAATTCAATAGTTGCATGTTTCATAAAATCTTTGGATAAATACTCATAATTTTTATCCCTTTTTTTTTCACAAACTTTACAAAAGTAATCGTGAAACTTATTTTCATATCATTTTCACGTTATTTAAAAGTGTCTTTTGTGTAATCAGGATTCGGGCACCTAAATGAAGTTGCAAAGTCCCATTCACCAGCTTTTGATTTGCTTACAAAGTCCCACTTGTACCAACAAAAAGGTTTTCCAAGATTAAATTGCAATAGGGATTTGCTTTTGCATTAGAATTCAGAAAGAGAAAGATGTGATTAGACGAGGAGAAATTTCAAGATTAGAGGTGGCAGAATGTTCTTCTACCTTATTTGTTTATTTAAACTTTTAATTAATTACTTTATGCAAGAAAGATATGAGTGAAAGAAAGTTTGAATAAAAAAGAGAAAAGGCCCTAGTTGGTGATTTGGATGGCACCCCAAAAGTCTAAACATATGGTAAGAGGGACCTAGAAGGGCTAGACCTTGTCTTTGTTTAGAGCAAATACATCACACTTTTTCCAATTCACCCACTTTTATCTTCCCTAACTTCTGGCTTTAAAGAAAAAATACCACTAGCTAAAGAGTTCTCATAGTCTTGGCTTGGTTTCATCTTCCAAAGAAAAAACTTAGGGACTGTGACAGTGTTAAGCGTAACATGCGTGATTAATATGAAATACCGTCAGAATTATATCTTCGTTGTATAAAGTCTTTCTCCCTTTCTAGGGTCATTCATTTTCTTTCAGTATAATAGTACTTTCTCCCAGTGTTGTTTCTCTCTTCCCACACGTTGAGTTTCATATTTCATCTCTTTCATTGTAAGTTGCAACCTGCAAGCTATCCCAATCTGTCACAAACAAAGATTTTTCTCCTTTCAAAAGCTGCCATTTTTTTTTCTTGTCCTCTTTGTTCCTTCAGAGAATCCCATTTTGTTTTCTTTGTCCCTATTTTCTTGACTTCCAAGTCCAACCCATAACCTCAAGTTTCAAGCCCTCATAAGTTGAAATTTCTATTTCATGCCATTGCCATCCCAACATTCGTGAACTCCATTTCTAAGTTCTTCAAATCTTTGTAGGTTTCTTCTGAAGATTCTCGAGCATCAGAGTGTTTTCTTGCAGGTATCTCATCCTCGTTCATTGTTGGCAATAAAAAAGGTTGGTGTCGAGTTGAGCGTCATAGTGTTTTCTTGCAGATATCCTCCTCGTTCATTGTGTTGGCAAGCAAAGGTTGGTGTCCGGCTTCTCAACGGGGATTGAAGATATTTGCCGAAATTTTATGCTCCAACATATCCTCATCATGTGCTCAGAAGCCAGTCCTCCGAGATTATCGTTTTCCCAGGATCTTGGACAACCAGATGTTCTACCAGTTGGTCGGAGAGACACACCACTCTTGGACATGAACTGTGACTTTGAGTTCAGCTTCAGCAACAGCAGCTTCGAGCGTCAATCTTCCTCCGCCGACGAGCTCTTTTCGCACGGTGTGATCCTCCCTATGCAACCGAGAGATAGGGTTTCGAATAGCGAACTTAAACGTTATGCCTCTCTTCCTCCACTTCCAAGTTCTCCAACTTATGACAATCCAAATCCAAAGAAAGAGATCATGAACACGAAGGAAGATATCGATTCGAGTTCGTATCATTTTGAGCAGAAGCCTCAGTCGAAATCCTTCTGGGGATTCAAGAGAAGCACCAGCCTCAACCAAGAAAATAAGAAGAGCCTGCTTTGTTCATTGCAACTCTTGTCAAGAAGCAACTCAACCGGCTCAGCTCCGAATCCGAAGAAAGCGATTTTTAAGGATGTTCATAAACAAAAGCAGATGTCGAAGTCTGCATCATGTCCGTCATCTTCTTCATCGTCGTCGTCGAATCCGTATGCAACGCTGCTGCCGAGGCCGCCGTCGAGGAAGGGTTACAACGGATCGTCTTATTACGGCAACGGTGTTCGAGTTAGTCCTGTGTTAAATGTACCATCTCCTTATATTTCTAAGGGAACTGCAAAGCTCTTTTGTTTGGGTTCTTTTTTACACCCCGGGAAAGATAAAAAGGGCAAGAAGTAAATTCTCATCCACTTGCTTTGTTCATCAAAATCTTCCTAGTTTACTTGGAAAGGAGGAAGAAATGTTTAACTTAGAAGCAATATCTAAGAGGAGAGAAATTTGCTCGAATATTGTCACACTTGGCATTCAGATTTAATGCGTTATTAGATTAGTATACATTATGAGCGATAATAGTATTATTGTACAGATAAAAGTGTGGATGGCTAGATGTGCTTGGAAGATTCAAACATGTTCAAATGTCATTAATTTGGGGGACTCGACAGGTACCCCATTTTTTCAGGATTTGTCTTCATTTGTGATGGGATAATTGCTTTTGTTCATTCTAAAAGTGCTTTTGGTCCATGTATATTATGCTAATTAACACAAACTTTTTGAAATTGGTTGTTCATTGTTGTTTCTTTGCGAGTGATTCCGTTTATTCAGCTTCCCTTTTTGTTTGTAGCTATGTGTGAAATGAATCAAGGTTTTTTTTTTTTCTTGGGTACAGCAATTTTGGCACTTCGAATATTTTTCAACTTCAGAAGAAAAAACCATAGTAGGACTGGCACCTTGACCGTGTAACTGGTTAGTCACGGTTAACAAAGAAACGGAACCTCTTGTATCTGGGTACTATTTCATCCCATGCAGGTACAGTCGTCACAGCTCTTCTTTTCATAAAAGTGTATGACCAATCACATATTTAAGTTGTAAATTTCTCTAACGAAAAAGTGGGGGAGCAAAATCGCTAAATTTTCCTCATTTCTTTAGGAATTGTGATTGACGAGACAAGGGAGAGCTGGTTCCATGGAGTGGGTTTGAAAAGCCAAATCCATGTTTGAAATGTCGTTCACTTTATAGATTTCTTGTCAGTATTAGACTTTGAGATGAGATGTTGAACTAATTTAATTACGGAACATGCCATCAGTTCGTCACCAAAACTTTTAAGGACAACTATAAATGAAAACTTTGAATTTTAACGATAATGACAAAATAAAAGGTAAAGTAAATAGTACTATGATTGACTTTTTAATGTAAAAATATGATTTTTTGTTAGAATTAACAGTATCGGAAACTTTTTGTTAAAATTCTCAAACTTTTATATATTGAGGTCCTAAGCAGGCAACGCCTAGATGCTTTCCCCCCTACAAAGTACCAAAAGACTTGGCTGTGCAATGGATTGAGATCATTTCCGGATCTCAAATTTAAGACCTGATGGACCTAGCAAGTCGGATTATATAAGAGAGATAAGAGCGTGGTTCTGTGTAAAATGTATTAGTAAAATAAAGCTAACGAGGGCCGCATAATTTAAATTGAATTGTTTGAATTACTGATTCCGATAGTTTCGGAGTTTGAGATCCGGAAAACATGTCGATCCCTGTGTAATGCTTGGAGTCATCTGTGCAATGCTTGGAGATTACTCGTTGGATTGACAAGACAATGATGGACATGTGTCATTCGTGATGGATGCGACCTTTTATAAGTATTTGTGTCACCCATGTGATGAAAAAAGTGCTAATCATTCTTAAAAAATTCTACTATGTTTCAGTGTATTTTAAATATTAAGAATTTTTTTTTCTTAAATCTTGGCCTCCAAATTTTTTACCAAGTATCCAATAACCAAAATCTCTAATGTATAAATATCCCAAACGTACTAAAAATTTCCCCTCGAATCCCACCCCATTTTCTCCTCTGCAGTCTAACCTATTGTTTCCTAGCGAAGTTACAACGTACTTTTACCAAGTGGAAGTGACAATTGGCAGTTGGCTTTGAGATCCTCTCCGTATCACATACCAGAGCCTGCAGACCGAGTAATTCAGACCGTTGAATTTAAATCATGCGGTAGCAATTAGTACAACGCTCAGATATCCCTCTGTTCAGTGGTCCGGATTGCTCGGTATGTGGACTCCGGAGTGTGACATCCGAAGTGGATCTCAATCCAAATATAGCAATCATTCTACCACGTATCCATATTGATATACTATGCCCCGTTCAAAGGCTTTATCCAATGGAGACGTAAGTCCCCGGTGAAAAACTTACATCTAAAGTAAATACGATCGAAAATGTTAACATACGAAGGGAAAGATACATCTAATGAGATCATAGATCGAAAACTTTACCGCACCAAAGAAAAACTGATACGAGCAAATTTCTATACAGAAGGCTTTCAATGCGCTCTGTTTACTTCCTCTGTCTACACGTTCGAAAATTGAATATCTTGAAACCAAGGCATTTACCGGGCTTCTACAAAATTGCTCTGTTGGATGTAAAATAACCAGTTCTGTGGTTGCGGGAAAATTGAATTGCCTATACAGGTATCTATAGATTAATATGTATATATATATATATATCTTTGTCAAAGAATAAAACCTGTTGTTAGTTTAATGTCGGGCAGTCAGTATTTGATGTCTCGCCTTTGATCACCCGGGTGTTGTAAGATCTGCAGTTTCCGCACTTGTGATATAGCCAGTGAAACCGTGAGGTACCCTTTCGATCACAGTCATTACATAGAATGTCCTGGTTGGAAAAATAATTCATCAGATGGTGCCTTTACTATTATGACTAATTTTCGGGGAAAAAAAGCATGCACATATCAGGAGTTGAGACAAAAGTTTTCCAATTTAACATATGAATCCAATTCACAAGTTTGTATGAGACGGAACTAACATAACGCAGAACCTGTAACCATCCTTAAGAAAGGAGACCAACTAGTTCAGCATGTCTAGACAACTAACTTCGAGAACATGAATAAAATAAAACGAATGGAAGCAATGTACCTGACAACGATTCCTGTATTCCTCTGGAAGCTGCTCGGCAGCCAATAATGCGTCAAGCATGCCAAAGTAAGCCTGAGTAGGTATAGAGATTAAGGTCTGAGAGTTGGGTTTCATAACAAAGTTGCTCTACTAAAGATTTAAAAATTGGGCAAGAGAACGAAGTCTAGAAAGAAAAAGAAGGTTAAAAACAAACGACAAATCCTCTTACCGCCATATCTCCCATAGATTTGCTGCAAATTGGACAAGTATAGTGACTGCGAGTGTACGCCTAACAGAAAACCATCCAGTAGTTTTGATTTACTTTCTTCTAAAAGGAAAGGAGAAAAGTACATGACAAATGGATTAAAAATGATCTTTATAAAAACACAGACCTGAAAGCAAGCAGAATGCATGTAGTGGCCACAGGGCAGAGCTCGAACCGTTGCACTTGATGTGAACAAAAAATCACAGCAGATGGGGCAATTTGTTTCTAAACTCTTCTCCAAGCACTTGTGGTTCACTAACTTTATCCCCAGGCAACAATTGCATGTCATGCAATGAAAATAGTCACTGCCAAGACCCTTTCCGAGTCGGCATAAATTGCAAAATGGGCAGTGATACACAGTCCTGAAATTTCAAAAGAAATATGTACTTTACCAATAAGAATTTACTAATTATCTACAAAATTGAAGTTGCAAATAAGAACTCACCTTTCATCATCAAAAAATTTGCATATATTGCAATAGTACTTTGCCATGGATAGTTCATTGCATGAAGGTGTAGTGCATATTGGCCCAACCGGCTGAACGGTCAGGCAGCGCATGCACATCATTTCAGTTGTTGCTTTCCTGCAATGGTTAAGAGAGTCACAGGTCTTACCCAAAAAAGAAGAATAAGAACAAAGATAATGTAATGTAACTTGAAAAGTAAGTGCGGATATCCGAAAATTACCTATCCATTGAATGATCGCTCACATTGTCATGGCAAAATCTACAAGTAAATAACTTGCCACAGCAAGCAGCTCGGAGTTTGCAGTTTCTTTTGTAGTGTTCGCACCCAAACTCTTTTTTCTCTGCACATCGATACGCTGGTGAGTGTCCAACCATGTCTTCACCATTAGAAGATTCTCCTGCTATTTCTTGAGGCAACTTCTGCTGAGTAGCTATCCAGCGGCTGAAACAAACGAGTCGCTCATTAATAATTTAAGAATTCTGGCCAAGGCTTATGTATTTTAGACATCACGATCTAGTTTCCGAGTCAGAATAAAGATACTGTAGCAATATGAGATAAGTTCTGGAAGGTTAGTATAGAACGAACCTAGTCATAAGATTCTGCACTAGATATGCCTTTCTCCTTGGATCAAGAGTTGCATCGCGATAAACCTTTCTGATCTCTGACTCAAGTTCACTTTGATTCATACGGAAAATATCCTTCCAACCAGGTTTGAACATCTGATCGGGCTGGTCCAAGCTTTCTTGAAATTCAACACCTAGAACAAAATAAAAGTCAAGATAAGCTAAATTAATCCAGTTGAAAGGCAGTTTTTAGACATTAAAGTCACTGTACTAGTTCAGAAGTATAATTGGGGTCCAGCGGCAGCGGGTAATTGTTTTCCCAAAATCAAGTTGCGCGTTCAAACATTAAATTACTGTACTAATATCTCCCATTAGGACAAAAGCACAACCCTCACTTGACATGGTGTATTGACTGCCTTAACTGTAAATATCTACAATAACAGAAACGCCTGGATCATGAAACAAACCTTTTTGAGGAGTGCTACTTTCCAATGTTTCAGTCTGTGGAGTTAACTCTGAAATTCCTTTCCAGCATTCGTTAAGCCACTCATTGAACATTGTATTTTTAGTTGCTTGCTTCCATGTATCCATCATTTTGTTCTGTTCATCCTGAGTAAGTGCAGAAGTCACCCATGGTAACATCGATTGGAGCACCTCAGCACCCGTGGTCCCAATAATGCGGCCAACTATTTTGTCTTGCTCCTCCACAGTGAAGTGTCTGCCGAATAATGGCCACAGCTCAAGTTCTTCCCTGAAAATATGCTGATCTAGTGTAACTTTGATAGATTTGCACATTCCTTGAAGCTTTGTCGCTAGCTCGTCATACTTTTTAGAGTAGTTACCATTAGCAGCAGAAATGCTAATGCTACTTCCAACTAAATCCTCATCCATGTCATCCTTTTGCAAGCTTTCATGAAGGTGAGAAAGTTCCGAAAGAACACATGAGATATCTTCAAATAATTTTTCCTCCTGTTTATGGTCCAGTGTGTATGAGTGACTGACATTATGAAGTGCCTCTTTGGATTCCAGCGCAGGAAACACTATATCATCCTCCGCATTACTATGCGCTCTGTATAAGCCCCACAGCAAACGAAACCTTCCTATGAACTGCCGCAGAGTGGTTTCATCACAATAACTAAGCTTTCCAGATTCAATATCTAAATACTCCAAATCTTTGCGTATAGCTTTATGAAATTTAAAAATAGTATCAATGGGGCGTTCTCCACAGCCAATATCAGAAGAAGAATTATCC